TTCAGTAAGAAATATAAATAATTATTGAGAAATTGAAATAAGCGGACCGAAATTGGTCCCAAAAAAATAATATAATAAAATAATAAAATATATACAAACCGAAAACGGTCTGTAACTGTGGCGGGAAGAGGTGTCGCAAAGATATACGGACCGGGATCGGTCCATATATCATTTAAAAAAGAATCAATAAATAAATAATAAAGAAAACAGATTTATTTTATTTAATAATTGATTTTTTTTATTTATTTAAAATTTATAATATTAAATATAATTATTAATTTAATAATACATATAAATTATATAAAAAATTATCTTGATATTACTATTTAATTATTAATAATTATAATATCAACTAACAATTAACAAAATAATTGATATTTTATTAATTAATAAATTAAAATTAATTAAAAATTAATATTTTTAAACATTTTTTTTAAATGACTAAAATTTCAATACACTTAACGAAATTTATGACAACAATAATTACACCAATGAAATAGTATTTGTTGTTTATATTTAACATAAAACCAACGAGTACATTTCAAAAAAATAATAATAATATTTCAATCACAATAAGCTCTCTTGTTCTCAACCTCATCTCACTTACCCGTTATAAAATTTAGATTCAAAATCTCAAATATACAAGTTTAACTATATATTAACTAGAATACAACCCTAATATTTGAGGCTAAATGTGCAAATTTCTCTCTAAATTATTGCATTAAAAGAAAGCATCACTCAAAAAAATATTAACATAATTTATCACCTCAAGTTTTCATTTTAAAAAAGGGTTTGTTTGATATGTGATCTTATGACTAAGATTAAACTTTATTAATTATAATATCTATAATTAATTTTACATAAATTTTTATATCAGATTCATATTATTTTACATATTTTAAATACAAATATGTAATGCTATTTTAATTTTAAATTTTAAAAAAAATAAATTTATAAATAATTATAATATTTTTTTAAAATTATAATTTTTTGTGAAATTAAAATTTTTAAAATCCAAAAAAACTTTCTACCAATTTTAGCAAACATCGCCTAAATAATTAATTAAGCATTGATCATTCAAAAATTTTTTTTTTTGATTTCTTATCCGGTATCCGAGGGCTTTGCCTCGATTAATCTGAACCCGACCCACGTCGCGCACCTAAAAATGGTGGGTGAGTCTCCCAGTGGGACTGTTGCATACACAAGGTCTCGAATTCGAAACATTATTTAAGTTGGAATAAGTCGCTTACCACTTGATCCAACCTCTCGTTGATAGCATTGATCATTCAAAATAAAAAGTTGAAAGGCACTCTCAACAAGAAAGTCCCCTATCAGAAAGATGTCAAATCAAGTTTGCTCTTACGTACAG